CCGCGTTTGTGTTGGCGTTGATTATCGTCGGATATATGGATGAGTCGACTACTCGTAAGTGTTTCACACCTTTCACTCGTAGCCGGGGGTCGACTACAGTGTCGGGTCTGGAAGGGTCACCCATTTTACAACTGGCCACCGGATGATATAAGGAAATACCGGTTTGCATGATAAGACACTCTAAATATTGAGTGCATTTATATACCGGTCCCGTATCGCAGTACTTGCAGCCGGGTATGGGACGTGGGTTGACGTATGCGTACTGCGAAAATTGGGACGTCTCTACAAAACGGTAGGTGTCGGAGACTAACTCCAAAAATGCCTGTTTGTCCACAGGGTTTCCCAAAAAGTTAGGATCAATGAGTGGTTTATCAAAAATGGATGTGCCCCTCAAACGCAATGTGCCACAACTTTTAGGTCTAACCAGAGTAGGGACGAGCACATAATTATCGTTGTTTAAAATGTCAATCAAATAGGCCAACCAATCAATTGATAAATCAATAGTTTGTAATAATTCTCTATTGAACAGGTAGTTGATATTTCTATGCGGTAATTTCTTACCATGTTTCGTTTTAGTGACATTTAATTGGCGTTTCTTAAAATTTATGGTAAGTCTTGGCAACGAAGTTCCATATAGCAAAACATCAGGGTAATCCTTATCCGGATTAACACTTGTTGAATAGTAATAAGTATTCATAGGCGCCTGTGCCAAAACACCGGTGCCCAGCACGTCGTCCTCGTATAGTTGTGAAGGAATAAGTTGTGGAATCGGATTAACCAGACCATTTTGTTTTAGAAAAACAGGAATTAATATTGACAAATGATCGCAGTATGTACTGCCGACGGGTAGGTCCGCATATATGGGTGCGATTCCCTTAGATGTCAAATGATCTTTAGGTCCCACTCCCGACAACATTAGTATTTGTGGTGAACCTATTGGTCCTATTAAAGTTTATACCAAATATTAATTTAAATATTAAACTTAAAAATAAACGTAAATTACCGGCTGATAAAATGACTTCTCTATTGGCTAACACTGTATATGTGATGAGATTTTTAATGAACTGAACGCCGTATGCAATAGGCTTTCCATCCGTGTCCCAACTGATGAGGACTTTATTAACAGTTGCCTTCGTTACTATAGTAACTGTGGGACAGATATTACTCTCGAGATATCCGGTGGCTGTCGATGCTCTCAATCCTCTATTTATAGTGGACTGAACTGACATAATGCCCGCCTGTATGGGCCCATTCACGTCATTATAAGGAATACCCTGCGCTGAGAGGGTCTCCAAAAATATGTTATCAATCGGAGAGATCATCGATGCGGTGGACACACCAATGGGACCGTTACGTCCGTGATATATACTGTTCATATTGGGATCTGTATTGTTTTCAGTTAATTTAAAAAGCGGCAATACATCATTATAGCCCCACCCGGTGGCCCCGTATTGGGTCACAAAATTGTCATAATTTTTACGATTGCCCCTATATTCATATAATTGGGGTTAAAATATTTAATATTAACCCTGAACAGAATGAAATATACAATATTGTATACCTGTTGTACATCATGAAGTTAACAGTTGAAGAGCCGCCTAATACCCGGCCTTTCAATGAGGCTCGGAATAGTGGTGATCCCTTTCCTACACGACTATGAGGCACAAGATAGTAGGGCCAAAAGGCTGGGCCATCAAGGAGTAATGTTTGCGCGTAAACACCTGGGTGATCGTGACTGTAGGCATCTTGGGCACCCCCGGCCTCCAGAAGTAACACATCTTTTCCCTTTTGTGCCAAACGACAGGCCACTATAGCACCGGCAGATCCGGCGCCTACCACCACATAATCATATGAGGCTTTTGTGGGGAGCGGTGTTCGGTAGGCATAATAATCGTGTTGTTGTTGTCTCAGCCATATAATAGTAAATGTCATATAGAGTTGAATTGGTAGCATTTTATATTTATCAAATTATTAATTAATTATTTTTAAATGAATGAAATTTTATTGTTAATTATAAACAATTTATCTATAATATCAACACATTTAAATGAAATTGACAAATAATTATAATTATCTGTAATGTTATTCAATTTATAAAGATATATCAAAGAACTCAATATTTTGCAACATGTGCTATTAATGCAAATTTAAACTTATTTTACTTAAACCTTGTTACAAACACTTAATATTCACTTTAGTAAGGTTTACAGCAGGCTATTTTTTTGATAGTTGGTTTAATACGTTACTAACCTTTGTACTCTAGTTAGACTTGTAAAATTTTAAACATCAGTAAAGATGTGCCGAGTGTGAAAACAAGTTTAACTAGAGTACAAAGGTTAGTAACGTATTAAACCAACTATCAAAAAAATAGCCTGGTCTACAGTATATGAAACAAGTTTTTCAATAATCATCGAAATGCTCAAAATAGGCTTAAATATAAAGGTAAATAATGCTACGCTATACCTGGTATAGAATACCAAGTTGGTATTACCAACACCACTGACATGTGGCCAGTGAAAATATTTACATTTACAACTTGTCAGACAGGTCTTTTCAGTGGCTAATAGCCAATGGTCAGTGAGAATACCTAATTTGTTTTGTTTCAAACTTTTATTCAATTGAATACACACTATTTATGTATTATATATATTTGGTACTATTTCATGTAGCATATTATGCTACATAACAGCTAAATATTACAGTTGCTCACCTCTAAATAATTCTCAAAATAATCATATTATTAATGATTTATTATTTAACAAATGTCAGTTCTGTGATAGATCAATTTTAAAAATGATTTTGATACAATTATTTTGTTATTACCAGTTATGGGTTGTCCTGGCTAATCAAAATGGCGCCCTTCTCTCCGGCCAACATCGCCGCCGCGTTTGTGTTGGCGTTGATTATCGTCGGATATATGGATGAGTCGACTACTCGTAAGTGTTTCACACCTTTCACTCGTAGCCGGGGGTCGACTACAGTGTCGGGTCTGGAAGGGTCACCCATTTTACAACTGGCCACCGGATGATATAAGGAAATACCGGTTTGCATGATAAGACACTTTAAATATTGAGTGCATTTATATACCGGTCCCGTATCGCAGTACTTGCAGCCGGGTATGGGACGTGGGTTGACGTATGCGTACTGCGAAAATTGGGACGTCTCTACGAAACGGAAGGTGTCAGAGACTAACTCTAAAAATGCCTGTCTGTCCACAGGGTTTCCCAAAAAGTTAGGATCAATGAGTGGAATATCAAAAATGGATGTGCCCCTCAAACGCAATGTCCCACAACTTTTAGGTCTAACCAGAGTAGGGACGAACACATAATTATCCTTGTTTAAAATGTCTATCAAATAGGCCAACCATCCAATTGATAAATCAATAGTTTGTAATAATTCTCTATTGGACAGGTAGTTGATATTTCTATGCGGAAATTTCTTACCATGTTTCGTTTTAGTGACATTTAATTGACGTTTCTTAAAGTTTATGGTAAGTCTTGGCAACGAATTTCCATATAGCAAAACATCAGGGTAATCCTTATCCGGATTAACACTTGTTGAATAGTAATAAGTATTTATAGGCGCCTGTGCCAATACACCGGTGCCCAGCACGTCGTCCTGGTATAGTTGCGAAGGAAT